ACACTCAACCTAAAATGACATCAATAACAAAACTAAAACCCACCAATTGAAATCTTTTCAAATATCACTTAGCGCCTCAAATATAAACGCCGTCATTTTTTAACGCTAAGATGGCGAAAATAACACGAAATGAGCGCCAAATGTGCCTCTTAATATTAAATCCCGGTAATTTACCTAAACACCCAGCTATTACGCACTCCATCCTCACCGCGGGTAATATGTTATACGAATGAGTTATAATAACAGAAATGGCTAACGATGATGCGGCCAGTGTCGGAGAATGGTTCGTATCCATTACTCATGTGAGATAGATTGCTCTGTGAAAGTCCGAAAGTAACTGGCCAGTAATCAGTTTTAATCTGTGCAACGTAACTGTTTTGACGTTTTAGCGGGAATGTTTGGCGCGCTTTTTTTGTATTTCATATTTGGAATTATGTCTAATTTAATACTTTTTGTTTCTTTTTTTGAGTTTTAATGAAGTAGATTGTATAACCGTTTTATTGTTATAAATGCGGCTTTATTTCTATGGAGTAATATTTATTAGAGACTTGGTTTCTGCTACAGGGGTATAGGATTTAACTGGTAAAGTTTAACTCTTGATAATTTTATATGGACCTCTAGCACCTTTTTAGAATAAAACGCATGATGACCAGTGCCACAAAAATACTGACGTCTCTCACACATATTAAATGTATGTACATATTTTATTTTATCCCATTTTCCTCCATCAACAAAATATAAATTAGTAGCATTCACAATTCACACACATTGAAACCTAATAAATAGAATCACGCGCACGAACTTTGACTGTGCGCAGGCGCATGAAATATGTTTCCACTTGTTATTTGTCCTTATTAAACGGTTCAAGTGATAATATGAACTTAGACTGCTATCTAACTAGCTAGTTATTTACCTTATCTTTTGGTCTGTCTGTGTGATTTAGGAAAATTCTGGTTTTAAAAGCTATTTATTTTTTTGCCTGTTACCTGATGTGCACCGGACTGCCTCGTTTGTCTAGTGGTTGTCAAAGCGACTGTTGAAGTTATGACTTATGAATTATTGACATTAGTTTTGTATCTTGTGTTAGAGTTCCATTTAATAGAGCCAAAATGTTGGATACGCGTGGTGTCTGTGGGCCAAAGTGTGGGAGAGCCATGCTTCGGCACAAATGGGCCAGCTCGACCGGAGTGATACCACGGCCTCACTAAACCGGAGTGAAGCAATGCTTGCGTTGTGTTTCGTCGTGTAAGTGAGGTTACCGGAGGCCCAATTACCCTCCCCTTCCCCAATCTCCACAATTCCTGAATCCCCAATGATCCTCAAACTCCTAATCCCCAAAAGGCCGGTAACGCACTTGTAACGCCTCTGGTGTTCCAGGTGTCTATGGGCGACACATACATAAACCTCCTACAACCAGATATCACGTACTAAACGAAACTGCAATATTAAAAATCAAATAACTTTTTCTATGAAAAAAAGAACTGTAAACTCCAACCATTATTTTTTCTTTGCCCTATCTAATAAATTGATGGTGATGTGACATGCAGCTATCAACTCGCTAAATATTAGCAAGTAAACAATAACAGGTGAGCGTTTCGTTGAAAGGTAATACAAATGTACGTTGATTAAGTGTTAATCACATTATTATACCTTGCAATTAATTAACAGCTATCGCCCATCCCTATACAAGGGCTGTCAATCAGATAAGCTTTATATGTTTTAGCGATAAATAAGTAAAACATGTTATGTCTGCCGCATGTCAGATGAGCAGTGGGCACAACTTACAGCTGAGTGGAGCCCACTCAACGTCAGTAGACGTCGCGGTCCCAAAAGGAGATGGCGGGACGAATTAGACATCTATGACAAGGATTGGCCGCAAAAAGCTTTACATAGAGAGGAGTGGAAGGAGGGTACAGAGGCCTTTGCACTGCAGTGGGACGATCATGGCTTAAAATAAAAAGTAAATAATAAAAAGTAAAACGTTCATTTTATTTTACTAATATATTAGATATAAATGCGAAGCTTTGTGAGTTACTGTGTATATTTATTTTGTTACTCAATAACGTCAAAACGGCTGAAGGGATTCGGATTATTTTTTTTAAGAGGGTAAAATCATCGAATGATTGCTCCCGCCTGGGTGAGGCGGGAGGTAGTGTCAGATTCTTACTGACTAAAAACTACCCCGTTCCTTCTCCTGCACGTCGAGCCGGAGCCCCGGTTACCCGTTAGGTTCTCCGCGTCAACAGGGATAGATTATGGTCTGGCATAACACAGGGTACTTTTTATCCTACGGAAATGCGAGCAATACCGCAGGCAGACGCTAGTAATGAGTAAAAAAGATTTAATATAACAATATTTTTCTTCCACTGGGACTCGAATCCTCGTAGTTGAATTGGATGCGATTGCGACTGTAGACATAAAGTTTTTGGTCTGATCTCCAGATTGGGTAAAATTTTATTCGGTTTTAATTTCGAACGTAGCACGAAATAATGTATTACTTAGCAATATAACATTCTGTAGTAATGAAATTAATAATATACATAGCTGGAAAAGAATAGTCGCTATATTTAAGAATAGGTGTACAAATTTGCTTTGACTGCCTCGTTGGCCGAGTGGTTCTGGGTTCGATGATTCCCGGGTCGGGCAAAGTATTACAGGTTTTTTGAAAAAATTTCAGTAGTAGCACGAAGTCTGGAAATGTGCCCGGTATATGGCAATTGGTTCACCCCCTATTACATGGGACTCATAACATAAATAGTGAAAGTGGGTGTTACTTCTGTGTGCACCTCTGCCTACCCCTTCGGAGATAAAAGGCGTGATTTTATGTTATGTATGTACAAATTTGTGGTCACCTTTTGGCGAATAAAATGAGTTATGATGGCTGATTTTTTTGTAGCAATTGTCCTGCCTCTGCCTACCCCATGGGAGACAGATGTTAGGTCATGTATGAATTGTATATATTTTTGTACACTTGTAATTGTCAGATCGGCTAAGCTATTGGTGAAAAAACATCATCATTGAGGGTCACCTGAATCACCTCGTAATTTCTCACAATCGTGGCCTGATATCTTGGCACATCTTTCCCATAACTTAGCGACTTTAAAATTAAAATATTGCAGAATTGTCCAATCAGGGCCTTGCCTTTAGCCATACGCCACTTTAGCGCTTGTCTACAGAGAGAGTAGAAATCAAAATGTATGGGGATGACACTGAGAAGTGTCAAAATTTACGTCAATTCCATATAATTTGGTTTTCTATTCTACATGTAGACAAGCGCCAAATGGCATTTGGCTACAGCTGCAGATGTTGATCAATCGAAGTAGATAGTATGACATAACGATGACAAAGCACGTGCTAGCTCCGATTATCTATTAATCCGTAATTATATTGTAGTGACAGCTTGTTAGCTGCTAGATATACTTATCTAATAAGAGCATCACAATTAACCAATGTTTTATCAGCCGTCTGACATGATATAATGTTGTTTTTCTTAAGCAGTATCGAAAGTAAGGTGTCCATTTTGGTTGACTGGCTTAGTAGTATGTTGTCAGTTAAATATTGGAGTTAGTATTTCGTTTCTGTGCCTTTCTAAAGTAGCAGAGAGATTGGGATTTATTCATTTAGACATTTTTTTTAAGTTTTGGGAAGCTAAAGATGTATCTAAGTATCGAACTTAGTATGTTTTCTTCTAGACCAATAGAACACTAAATGGGCACTGCCTTCGATGGGTGAATTGTTTGTATTTCGAAAATTCATATGTAGCTTTTTTTACAGGGGGAAAATCAAAGAATGACTGCTCCCGCCTGGATGAGCGGGAGCGAGTGTCAGACTCTTACTGAGTAAAAACCACCCCGTTCCTTCTCTTGCACGTCGAGCCAGAGCCTCGGTAACCCGTTAGGTTCTCCGAGACATTCATTTGTAGCTTGGAGATATCAGATAGTTCCTCTTGGTATTTATCTATACCAATCATATGTATATCATATAGCACTTTTGCCAAGGAATCGTAGAATTAAAGGAATTATATTACCTCATGTAAATCCAATAATAAAACTTATCAGTAAGACGGAACAAATCTTGGAGGTATATGAAACAAAATAATTAAAACATCAGGTTCATTTTGCGGTCACAATTACACGGTGTCACATATCAGAGGCGGCGAACATTTTGTTGAATAATTTGCTCGTGTTCAAAATTATTAACGGCAAAGCATTCGTCATGGCGGCGTGGGGTCCCAGGGAATCGTATCAATGTTTTATTTTTTATATTTTTCGCAAAACCATGTGATTGTTTCTTGCCTTTAATAATTTAAATGTTGACGATTTCGGTGTTTGCAGTCACAGTTCAAAAGTAGGTACTTCATTGACCTTAAACATTTTTTATCATACACTTTGAATAGTGTCCTATTTAATTTCCATAAGATCAAATGCAAATGCAAAATGCTATCCAATTTACAATAACCCTCAATCTTCAATACAATTTGAATGCACCAGGAAGAAATGTAAGTGTGAACACTCAATTATGTGTTTACTATTAACTTGTATTAGCGAGTGTTGTAGTAAAGCCATACATATTTTATAACGTTACTTTACACTTGCGGTGCTAAGACGTTCGGTGTCTTTGTACCTCACAAAATGGCAGTTAAACCTCTAGTTAATGCCACGATAAATATTTTGTTCAATATATAATCACATGCCGCTTATGGTTCGCTAGAATTCATTTGTTATTGGGATTGTGTTGTTTCCTATATTTTGATAGTTGCCGACTGCACAATATGCTCAATTACGAGCGTGCTCGAAAGCCGTCCCTAGCCTATTATAATCATAATAGCAACGCGGTGTATAACTCTATTAAAGCCTCGTTTTGTTCACTTGAATGCGACAGCGACAGCCAGAGATTTATCGAGCGTTCTAAAGATGTCTGGCGCGGCTATGCTTAATTGTCTGCCGCATCTAATTGTTGTCTGGGTCTAGACGCGCACCAAGAAATAAATCACCGATATGTGTGTTTAATCGTGTTATATTTTGATTCAATAAATTACTCACGTAACATACCTTTTTACATCTTACATACAGTGTGATAATCAATTTACAAATATCCATTTTCCACCGTTCATTCGTCTATAAATATAAATTAAAACTTAGTCAATATGTTTTGTACCTAATATATTGTTTCCGACTACAAAAATGTACATTTAGTTAGTAACCATTTATATTTTATTACTACACATTACTTTCGTTAAAAAAGAACAAAATTAAAATACCTACAAGGATGTGATGTGAACTTATTGTATATAGAGTGAGCTTAACATTAGGCCCGTAGGTTGGTTCCATATAAATAAATAAAGAAATACAGTCTGTATGTAACAATGTCTTAAATATAAATTAAGATGAACAGACGAATGTATGCCTTATACATTTGAACTATAAATCGTTATACACTGGCAAAATATTTCATAAAAAATAAAATACATTTTAAAATCTAGACACAATTCTTAATATTACTTGTAGGTACAGTTTTAAAAGAGAGATCAAAGAGTTTTTATCATCAGAGGGTATGAATGATTATTTTATCATTTATGTGAATTATCAGGATATGGTGACTGTAAATTGGTGTCAGTAGGTTACGGGCACCAATAAAATGACTCGACGTCAAATGTTAATTGTTGTAAACCAACAAATGTCAATTATAACGAGTAATAAACATTATTTTGTCTTGATGTTTCCATAACAATGTACTAAAAACAGTTTTATAGGTGTCACCTTATCTAGGGGTTACATTACATTGCGTATATCAATGTTATTCTTTTGCCAAATTGCTTTAGCAAATTGTTTCGTCCTTGAACGTTAATTTAGTTTATCAATGACGAACTTTGTTTGTTATATAATTGCAACTTTGTATAGTGTAACATGATTATACCTAAGTATTTTCTTTATATTTTATCCTAGAGTTACTTTGAGGTCAATGTTTCTTGATCGGCAGAGAAAAGTATCGAAGGGCTACTTTCCCCAATCATTTCCCACTTTCTGATTTTATGATATAATTGTGTCGTCTATTAACTATTAATTAAATGCCATCGGTTCTGCTTCTCACAAGACTATAGTGACATTAATTGCAGTCAAGCCCTCAGATTTAATAACAAGTTTTATTGAGAAAATTCTATTAAGATTAATCTGTAGTTAAATCTTGGAACTGTAAACGGATACTGACATTCAGTTAAATCTAGACGGTACTGCTGACCATAATCTAGTTGTGTAAAGGCCAGGTAAAAGAGAATAAGAGAAACATTAATAAAAATGTTCTATAGCCATTTTCAAAGTGGATAATTTCACGTGCCAACGGCTCGAGACAATGACTCCGTGACCAATCGGGTTGCACATTGTTATGTACCTATAAACTTACTGCGGAATAAGTAAAAATGGCAGTAAAGTGAACGCAGCCATAATGTTTTGCTAATTGGCTCTCTTATCGGTCGTTACGCATTATACGTTCATTAATTGTTGTTATTTTACGACAAGAGATTGTATTTCTTTCGCCAATAGTAATTTTATTTGCGCCGCCATCTTTTTTAGTTTATGGATTTGTTTTTTTTATTAGTGCTCTCTTATAGCGTCTGTTGTTCTAGTTCGTAGAGCCAAGATAAAGACTTTTTATTATTTTTATAATTTATTTCTTGTGTTTAAAATTAAATTGATATTTTTATTTATAGATTCATAAAGTCTGTTTTTAAATTAATTAAAATTTATTATTTTGTGTTAATGTTGTCCTGTCCGGTTTTGTTTAGTATCGATATTGTGATATCGAGATATCGATAAGAAAACTTAAAGGGTATTAATGTCATATTTTTTCAACCTTTTTGTAAGCTTGATGTATCATGGCTGGTTCAGTTTATCGCAGTAATTGTTACAAAGTGTTTCTGTCAAGAAATTATACAGCAATGGCGTCGTAATTAAGTTAATTGCTCACCATTATGTCTAATGGAGTAAAACTTAGTGTTTCATTGGGTTGTTAAACCGTAATGACACATTTAAAACTACCTAAAATGTTTTGTTCCTGAAAGTTAACAAATTTAGCCCGTTACCTACTGAAATATTCTTCACACCAATTTACGTGTATATAATTATACTTGTTTAGCATATATTTTCGACTCAAACATCATTCAAGTCATACGCCATTTAGTAAATAAAAAAATAAAATTTGAAATCGCAAAAAAAACGAATAAAATACCACATCATCAACAAACGTCAATATAAAATTATTGCCCCGATTGTAAGAGAAAAATATATTAACATTAAGGAAAATAAATATAGATCGTTACTATATACACTACTACCTATATAATACATTGCCTAGGTCTAGTATTCACACGAGATATGTTTTTATTAATTATATGGTACTCATCAAGTCTTTACAAAAGCTGATTAATCTAATGATAATAACATTTTACTGTAAGCAAAGTAACAACTCTGAAATGCCATCAAGTGTTGGTACAGCACTATCGTAGCTACATCAGCAGAAATATTGGTTCCCGAAGTATTTTCACTTTTAGCGTACCGAGAGAACTCTGTTACCATCGACATTCAGTCACTGCTGAGTCACTCAGCCACAACGTTCACTGGTCAGTCACGAATTATCCGAGAGCCTCTATTGTCACATTGTAGTCACTTTCACGTGTTAAGTAAGGACTCTATACTGAAAGGATTATGTTTTCTTGTCCCTCCATTTTTCGAGAGGTCCTCCGTAGCGTGGCCTCCACCGCTCAGGTCTAAGGAGACAGCTCGACCTGAGTCGAAGTCGAACTTCTCAAAGTTCGTACTGGCTCCGCTGAAGTGCTTGAAGAACGAGGGCTGAGGGTCGGGGGTTGGGCTGAAGTGCCGCCCCGAATGGCCGTCAGACGTCGAACTGTCTGAGTTGTTCATGCCGTCGCCCCCCGAAGGTGCCCGAAGTCGGCCCGATAGGGAGAAGTCTTCAGGTCCCGAGTCGTGGCAGGAGTCTCCCCCTACTACATCTATCATGCTGTCCTCCCCCTCTCCGTCTCCGTCTGAGTCGGAGTACAAGCCGCTATTTTTGTGCTGGGCCAGGTACTCCGCCTTCAGAGCCTCAAGGTCCACCGCGATGCCCTTAGCCCGTAGCTTCCTCGCTTGCCTCTCCAACGCTTTTGCCAACTTCTTTCTTCTTCTCGCCCTGTTGATAAAATCGATAGGGCCCAATTAGTATAGAATCTATAGCTTAATGATTCAGTTCAATAAAAATAATCACTATTAGGCATCGTGTGTTATGTTATCTTTCTAATTACTGTAGCAGTATTAGGAGTGTATGATATTAATATTCGACACTTTTATCGAAGCTATTATGATAAAACTGTCACCACCGATGACATAACAGAAGGAGTGCACACCGTCCGTGCGTCACATGTAACCTCTGCACATTATAATGTATTTTTTATCTTTTTATGTTCTCTTTAAATTACTTGAACACTAGATAAAAGCACGATTATTTGTGTTAATCATATGAAATTAAAACAAAACCTTCGAACAAATTACATCAGTTAATTAATCAAAATTCGGTCGACATTAAAAATAATCGTTATATTAAAGTCGTAAAAACGCAATAAAAGTTTTTGTTTATGAAGAACACGAGATAGGGAAATTTATTTAAAACACTTTTTCATGACAATTGTTGACACAAAGATTAACGTTATCAGTTCTGGACAAATCTGGATTTAGGCAATGTCATGCTCAGTGACCGTTACATTTCAAAAGGTTTTATTGATAGTTTTCATTGGCAAGACGTCGATTTACTAATAAATACACAGAAATAAATTAATCAATCTTTCCACGCGAACAAATATTCTCCTTTTCCTATTCTCTTCAGGGCAATGTGTTGGGCTAAAACTCGATCTAGGTCTATTTAAAGACTACGTTATGCACATATCTCACCTCTCCCTGGCTCTCAGCTCGTGTGGTGGTATCGGTTCTCCAGAACAAGACTGTGGGTGTGCATTGTGAGCCGGTCGACCAGGACCTTTCTTTGTGTGCTCCTTCTTACGCCATTTTGCTCTTCGGTTTTGAAACCATACCTGTGTGACAAGAAAATTATATGTTAGTCAACTATATTTATTTTTAACTATAATATAGTTTTACTAAATTAGAGATATTTTGTGACAACTGTAATGAAAATTCTGAACAGAAGATTTTGTAGTAGGTATAGGTACTGTCTGCAGATCTTGTTTTTCGGGTTTTGCCAGATCCAAACGCTAGAAAATACACACAAAACAATTTGTGTACACTTTTGAATATTCAAACATGGTACAGATGAGGAATTAATTGCAACAGTAGGTCTTTGCAAGTATTGAATCATATTATTTTTTACTTTAACATAAGTTAAAGCGGACGAACTTCACAAAAAATCACTTGTTGCACCTACAAAATGAATGTCGTCTAAAGGTCATGTCTTTTAAAATATCCGAGCATCTGCACAAAAAGGATGATTTAGTAAAAACAGCTCCCTTATGTAAGCTGTTGCTCTATTTTGCACGATCATAACACGATCACGATTATCGATATCTGACATTTTTTTTTTGTTGAAGCATTCCACGTGCCAGGTAAGTAGGTATGCGTTTTTATCCATTTTTAATTTAGTGTATTAAACTAGTATACCGTTATCAACAGATTTATGCTCAAATACTGAAAGGGTACTCAATTTTTTGTTGTAATTAAATATCGTATATTTTAAAAAGAATTTGTAGTGACAACTATACTTAAGCGCGACTTTAAATCGAGTAGCATTTAAGTATTGCACATTGGTAATCACATCGTCACATGTACGGTAAACATATTTAATCACACTACCCAAAAACAGAAAAGTCTCGAAATCTATCTACCTACCAGTACTTGATTGTGATACTATTCAAGTGATACATAATACGCTATTTGACAACTAGTCAAATACAATTCTTTTTTCGAATTCTGTCAAAAACGTCAGTTTTCAATAAATTTTGTTGTATGATTGTGAATTGTGACGTAACGTTTCTAAGCGTCAAACAGCGGACTCGTTTCTTAAAAATATGCTGGAAAAATACTAAAATGAAGTTGGTCATAAAATCAATTACCTAATGAAAGTACCACACTTTCATTATTTTTTAGTATTTTATTGTATTGAACAGTCGAAATAAATTATTTTTGATTAAGGAAAGTACCCAATTATGTACTTCTATAGGTAAATAAATACATTAGAAATACTGTTAACAACTTTTATATCACCAGCAACCTTATTCGAAAGCCATAAGAAACATATTATGGTCAAATTAAACGGAAAAACGTCCAAAGAAATCTCTTTTGCACTAACATCAAGTACTTAGTACTTTACTTAAATACTTAACCGGCATCTATAAAAGGTTAGAGGAGTTATCTCGGCGCACAAAGCCATGTAAAGTGCCCGCGACCCGCCAAGAATTGAGACGTTAAATTTCAATGCGCCTGCGCATTACCATCGTAATGGCGGGCAGGCGTGCGCGCGCATTTGACGCGCTGCATATTGGCGCTATCTTCCGTGATGTGCGAAACTTTGTGGTAACTGATGCCTTTGGTTTTAGGCTGATTTTCATCTAAAATACGTATTATAAAGAGATATTTTAGAACACATTTTAACACTTATTGGGTATTGTTAACTTGAAAACTCAATTCGATGTTTCTAAGTTTGATGATATTAGATGACGGTCGTTGCAAAGACGATTATATAGCGATAAGTTACGAAAAGTTTAAAGAAAAAAGGTAGCACCACCGTGAACCTAGCCTTATCTGCCCATTGCCTATATATAATACCATATCCAGTATCAATCCTTCCTGACTCTATGGCGTCCCCGTGTCCCGTCAGTTATTGTTTAAAAGCTTTCAAAAAGTTTTTGTCGTTTTAAAACCATTCCTGTACCATACAATTTTCGCCTGGAATTGCTCATAGTAATTATAGAACTACAGTACTACATAACTGTATATAGCCTTTATTTTAATATCAAATAACATTGAATATTCATAACTTAGTTATTGCTTTAGTATCTTCAAAGACAAACGATTAACTATCTTGAGTGCGTAAACGAATATCCCACCTCGGCGATTTAATGCAGTTATTGTCAATGATTTCAATGGTTTGGTAGTAAAATACTCCGTAATTATGGAATTTAATTGTAGCTGTAAAATTATGTTTATGGTGGGTCACTGGGACGGTCAGTCTTTGATGGTGGCCAGACCACCGCACGGAGTGGTCACTAACATTCTGTCGTAACTGCGTATGTATTATGTGACATCTGTTAACCCAGAATAAATGATAAATTAATACTTTATTATGTATACTTTTATGAGATCGTAAGTTTTTAATTAATATTTTTGTAGATCGAGTTAAGGAAGATCTTCAACGCGTTAAGCGCCATGGGGGTCACCGGTGACCGACGTTAGCGGAAGATTTACCTTCAACAGTTTTTTATTGGCAGCCAAAGTCTTAAATATGTTATTACTTCTTCGTTTCTCGAAGACTACCTTAATCCAATGTATGTAATTAAGTGTCCATTGCCTCCTGTTTAAAAGTAACACAAAGTTGTTTAAGGTTTATCCAGACAAAATGTATCACAGCATTTCTAAAAGTAATTCAGATCTTCTAGGTAAATGGTATTTAAACGTTAATCAAACGAGTGAATACCAAAAATACATTTTTGTATAGGGTGCTGTGAAGAAATCTAAAAAGAGATAAGTCAAAAGTAAAGTTAAACATTTCCTTTGTCATGAATAAAACAAACAAGAGGTTCGTTTCTTCATCTTCTCTTAAAGAAATGTTTTCTAGTAATGCATTTCTATGTGTATAACCGATTGGGTAAAGAGGGAAAAATGTAACATAGGTTTTGGGATACGAATTGGGGTCAGCTTTACGAGCCGCCCATCGCGTTTTATTGCAGAAGCCGGGTAATATGACAATATGGCCGCCATCTGACGAATTCATTTGGATTTATTTAATAAAATTATAACGTCAAGTCTCACAGCATTTGGTATAATTAAAAAGATAAGTATAAACGGTCAAAATGATATTTCGTTTTATTCTTTTTTATGGTATTTTTTTATAAAGGTTTTTCTTTGTTTGGTTACAAAACAATAACTAAATATGTAAAAAAATTATCAAATGACTTCTGTAAGTATCTTGGGTATGACAAAACGGGGTGTCAGACTCTTACTGACTAAATACCAAGGTAAGATTTTGAGCAGTTTTAAGGTAGGCTAACTGCCCATGTAACTGAAATAACTGGTAAAAAGTAAACTTTCAGTGCTTAAATATTTGATTGCATTAAGTTATAATTACGTCCTTAATTAGGTCGTTCTTCACTTTATTTATTAACCATACTAGTAAAATACATTAAAAATATAAAAAGCACTATTAAGTTATTATTACTGAATATTTTTAAGTGACAAGCCCGCTACAACCTCCCAGAACTGCTGCAAGCTCTGTAAGCCAGGATCTACAGTAGATGCAACCATGAAAACACCGGAACACTGAAGTCCGGCGCGTCCCAGGGACATGACTAACTGTCTTTGTTAATTATTACTGTATTACCTACTACTGAATACTTACTGAATAATTTGCGTATGAAATTCGTACTCGTATAAAAGAAATGTTACCCATAAAGTCATTGTTTAAACAAATTATGATTAAATAATAATAACCCAATTAATATATTCATTTACTGTAAATGATTTAAAAACAATGGTGTTCCGTTGAAAATGGATTTCGGAAGGAAACAACCACGTTTTCTATTTATTATTAGTACAATTATAATTATAATATTATAAGTCGCAATTATTTACTTATTGGTCGAAAATCGATTTACTTTGTTAGTGCCAATTAAAATTAAATATATATTAATGATTCATTAATATATCTACTACCAGCGACCCGCCCCGGCTGTGCTGGCGTGCAAAATGCATGTATTATATAAACCTTAAGAATCACTCTATGTATTAAAAAAAAACGCATCAAAATCCGTTGCGTAGTTTTAAAGATCTAAGCATACATAGGGATAGACAGACGGCGGATAGCGCCTTTGTTTTATACTATGTAGCGATAAGACTAGGATTTTTATTGGGTAAATCATCGCGATTATTTTGTATTTTTTTTATAAACATTTTTTTGGCATTGTAGTCTTTAAAGTAATATTAATATATATGTAAGAAGACAACAAGACCTACAAAGGGAATCACTCAACTATTGATTCTTTAAGTAATTTCAAAAGGAGTTGCAAGAATTGGGCATAATGTTACCCTCAATAAAATAAAATGAAACAAAAGCATAGGTACAATTATATCTTACCAATATTACTTTAAAGTGAACTTTAGTCAACCGTTAATCATACAAAAAGCACCCATTAATCTACATCTACATACAAAAAATCATCCCCAAACCACATACCTAATTTTAATTAACCCTAAGTTTCTAACGTCTAATCGAATACATTGATTAGTGGGTCGTAATGACCCGGTGGGTAGTAACCCTCTGCTAATGACCTACGTATATCCTCCCCACCCCTCCTAGAGGGTGTGTCATTAATACCCCCGGCGGGGGAGGAACTGATTTGTTTTTATTTCGGTTTTAGAAGGGTATTGGGGAATGCAGCCTTTGATATACAATCATACATATATATATACGTATAGATGGTATAATAATAAACATAAATGAATGGATGATATTATGGATGGACGGATGGATGTTAAATTTACCGATTTGTTACCTACATAGGTAATGTCATGCTTTTTAATCTCTGAAAGAATAAGCAAATAATCGTTTTGTTAGAAGTCTTTCTAAAGCCATAAGGAAGGACTCCAAGTAGAGTAACTTAATACAAGATCAGATAAAAATTCAAATGGTTAAAGATACATTCCATTTTCACATTTTAAACGGTTTTATTTAACTTGACCCGTTTGTTCTTTAGGTCAAATTTTGAAATTGGAATGTCACTCCCTTGCTGAGGATAGATCAATCTGATTTTTGGTACACAATCGTAGTCTTGATGTCCATATAATTACAATCAATTCTTTATACTAC